TTGTTTTTCATCGCCGATTTCGAATCCGTTTGAATATTGTTGCGGTTTTCCGTTTTTACGCATGCGTGTGATATTTAATGCCTCGTTTAGAACCTCGAGTTTATAATGTTTACTTAATAATATGTTATTTAACTGGTCACGAGTTGAGAGAGGTCAAGGCTGTTACATATTATGAGATAGAGTCGATAGAGATATATCTGAGGACTGGAGTGTTGGGGTGGCCAGTGGCGTRCGCAGGAATTTGGTATGGGGGGGATGTCATAAATAAAAATGTATTATTTTCAATATTTGTTATTTAATATTATATATATAATAGTCGTTAGAAGACTAAAAAAAATCCCATGGGGGGGATATATCCCCCATCATCCCCCCCTGCGCACGCCACTGGGGGTGGCAAATTATTTGAACGCTACTTGTCAAAAATTACAAAATTACCCTTTTTTTCCGAGAGTGCTATGAAGAATATTATATTATTATATATATCTGTGTGTGTGTAATAAAAATATTTTAATTTGTTGCGTGAGATATGTTCAATTTTTCGTTATGCTCAATCGTACCAATTAGTATACAACAAATAGTAATATTATATTCTATTATTTGTTACGATCACTTGTCAAGTGACACTTGAATGAAATTTGTAGAGTTCATTGGCTACGACACAAGTACTTCGTAGTCTCGAATAAAGCAATTACATTAGAAACTCTGTGAGACTGGGTATAAGCAGCATGTTTAAGCCGAAAACATAATTGGGATTTCTGGTATGTCATTTTGTTTGAGAAACATTGATAACAGTCTATTGAGGAGAAGTTTTTCAAGAATTTTACCAAGCACTGTTAGAACAAGAAAATCAGTAGTGATGTGTGCATTACTTATATGAGTAAGATGTGAATACGAAAAATTAGTCGTAAATTAAACCGTACAATTAGATTTTATAGAATTGGGTTGTTGTTCATAATGATATAAAGGTGATCTCCTGGAAACTAGCTTGAATAAGAAAGATAACAAAGTCAAGCCTTGGATCAATTCATTTTTAATTCAATCATCTTACATAGAATCAAAGAATCAAGTATCTGTTTAATGTTTTMAATAATATCATAAATATTAATTTGTAAAATAAAAATGTTTCCACCTAACTACAATATATACTGTAATATATATATATATACTATAAAATGTATATTGCACTCTCAAACTTAATGTAGATTCTCAGCACCAAAATTGTGAGTATTTACAAAGGGAACTTGGCCACCAAACATTTCTGTGTAATTTAAATATACAAAAATAATGAGTAGTACACTTTTTGTACATATTCATACCACATACAATAATATTGTTTAACTGCATTTATAATAATAATCGAATAGATTATCCTCTATAAATAAAATCATTTACTTCTTTTAAATATCTATTAACACTGGTTAGTTTTGGATTTGATCAATTCTTGATTATTTCYCTTATCGTTTCTGATCCAAATTAAACAAACTGAATACAGTGTACTACATAAATAAATATGAACGGAATACAAATATTTAAAGGAACTAACAGTTGTTATTTATTTATCTTTTTACATGAACAATAAATAAATAGTTACATAACACATAATTTGTATATTTTAAAATTAAAAATCAGAGTAATAGCTTTAAAAATAATAAGGTTAATTTGAATCATTATGAACTGATTACATATAATATATTTACCCTTATTGACAGCAAATGTATTGCCAAAAAAATAATTTACGAAATAAAAAAAAAAAAAATGTCTTTCATATAATATAATGATTAATAATGTAAACTATAACAAATTAAAAACCTTGGTAGTCTAATAACTAGCATAAAAGAGGACATTGATTATGCACTTAATTTTGATACACAATCATCAAAMACTTGTTTGAATTTACCAGCTATCTCTTCATTCTTGAAACGTACAGCCAACATCTCTTTTTGTGGCTCAGGATTATCTTCAGTTGTATTCATACAAGGCCAGCAAAACGCCTTGTTTGAAGATGTCATAGCCACAAGCTTTATATCTGAAGTTATCAAATGGTTGCATACAACTTTAAATACCTAAAAAAAAAAAATTAAGACTGTATAATAATGCTGAATAYGATAGAATGTACTTGGGGTCTTTAAAATTAGAATTTGTTTATCAACAATAATACAAGTAAATTTACCTTTTCTCTTCTAAATAGAAAACGGTATGTGTTCCTTTCTGGATCAAACAATACTTTCATTTCACCAATACCTCTTTCTTTATATTCACTGCCATCTTTACGGAATAATTTTGAACGTTCACAAAATACTGTATAACACAAATCAAGGTAGGTAAGTGGGGCCTAACATTTTTTTTTTTTAAGTGTCACTTACATATTTTCTCGTTTTCTTCTCCAGTTGATACTTCGATAGCATCAGGAAGTGGTATAATAGGTTCGAAATGWGGATCATGGCTATTATCAACTTCTTCATCACCATTTTCTTCGGCTTTTTCACAATTTTTCTCCTCATCTGTGGATTTGTTGAGGTTAAGGGTACCTGCCCAAGGATTAACTACAAATAGCAAAACATAATTATTAAAATTGAAAACCTAAAACAAGCAACTAAGTTGTTGGTTTTWATTTATTAATACTTTTAGGAGCGCATTCATCAACAGTTATTTTGTCTTTAACACCAAAAAGACCTTGTCCAAACACTGATTTAGGATCCTGAGAGATTGTCCCAAATTTGAACGGACTATCAGTTTTAGGACTGAAGTTGAATAAACCTTCAGTTTTGGATTTTATATCATCAGTTTTAGAAAACAATGAACTTTGAGTAGTAATTGGTGACTCTGTTGATCCAKAAGCACAAAATGAACTAAATATTGATGATGGATTCACATTAGAGGAAAGACCAAATAAGCTTGTTGATTTAGTATCGTCTGTCTTRGTAGAATCCGAAGAGAAGTTTCCAAAAATTGGTTTCGATCCAAAAATAGGGGCAGCAGATGTATTTTTATCAAAAATGTTTGTWGAAGATTTATTGCCAAAAAGAAATGATGTAGTTTGAAAAGACTGTGATATGTTATTTATTGATGTGACCGGAGKTATATTTGATTCTGAAACACTAACAGGTACTTCATCTTGTTCCTTCACTCTTTCAATTTCCTAAAAATAAATTACATTGTATTACTATATATATTTAAAACCATAGAATATTATAATATTTGCATAACAGTTCAATATACAACCTATAGATTGTATGGTAAAAATGTGGGAATAAGTCCAAAAATTTTAAGTATAGAACATTAAAATGTAATTATAATGAAGAAGTTATATAAAATAATAGGTTTCACTTTAATTGATGTAATCAATAAAAAAAAAATTTTGATTATGATCAAAAAAAAAAAAAAAAAAAAAAGATAGACATGGACACATTCACAAGATTGTCAATTATGAATATTATATTCATTCTGAACAGAATATTACACATTCACATTTATATCACAGAATTAAATATAAGAGAACACTTAAGGATACATTTGGAGGGAACATTCAATTTTTTTTTCATGGAATTCGCAATCCGCTAAATTGAAAATAGAAAAAGGTTTGAGATTTTATTGCTAAACTTAATCAAATAATTAAATTTCTAAAATATTATGTTAAACGATATAATTCTAGGCAAAAATTAATTTGAAGGTTGTGAACTGGACATTGCTAATACTTGTTAATTTTACTAAACTAAAAAAAAATAAAAAATATATACAGTAAAATTGATAAATAAAATTACTTTTTCACTATCAGTCTTTGAAGAAACAATTTCATCATCTACTTTTTCTATCTAAAAAAAATAATAATAACAATAATCATAATCATTAACAATCTAAAGAAAAATTGGTTTTGGGTTGAAGCTTACATTTTCAGAATCTTCTTCACAGCCAACACATCCTTTACATTTAGGTTTTGACTTATAAAGAAAGAATGACAATGGAAGTTTTAATTCTTCAGCAAGTTCTTGATCAGTATGAGATACCACATCTTTAAGTGATTTAACATCAAGAATTTTTACGGACTCTGTAAAATACAGCTTATTACTTATTAGAAAATATACAATTAGGTTCATAACAGTCATAGTTGATGACCTTAAAAACAATAAAAAATGACCTAAAAAAATGCAAATATTAGWTWTAWATTAATAAAAATACATTTTTTTTTTAAATATTTTACTATAAAATTCAAAATATGACATAAAAATGACAAAAATGTCCTTTAAATAGGAAAATATTTTATAAATTTATCAATGCTTACATATTATTATCAAAATCATTGCATTGTACAATTAGAGCGTATTTTATGTTATCGAAAGTAAATGAACGACGATTATCTGTAAATAAATATTTATATATAGAAAAACTATAGAGGTTAACTAAAATTGGATAGGTACTAATCTTAGTCTGTGGTAATTTCCATGTTTTAAGTTATTGGCATAATGGTCGACAAGAAAYGATAAGAAATGAACTAGTGTGAAACTGTGAAATCAGTAAAAATGACTAAAAAAATGCAAAATAAAAATTAGTTATTCAGATTCACATGCTTATTAAACAGATTTGTGGCCAGGAGAGAATCGTCTAAAACGTTCCAAAAAAATTTGCAAAATGCATCAACTTCCGAGCCCTTGTCATAACATATCATCTCTTTTAGATCTTAAGAGGATACTACACCAGCGATGTGTTGCTTTGGCCTAAAGAATGCACAACATAGTAAAATATGTTTTGCACGAGATACAACCACTTAGGTTGTAGTGATACCAAGACTCCAAATTAGTATATCAATAATTGAGAAAACTATCTGTGAAATATTATTTTTATTTTTTAGATATCATTTATACAAAAAAAGTTCTTATTGTTTCAAAATTTATTATTTTCGTTTTTTTCAAATTCAAATCATTTTTTTGGTAGTTCCGATATAGAAAAGATTCTATAACAATAATAACAATATTTAACAGCCAAAGTTCTCTGTTTTAGGTGGTAGAAACTGGCCTGTAGTCTTGGTTCTTTTCCGCGCAAAAAAGGTTTTTAATACGTTGTACATTTATAAGATCAAAACACATGTGGGAGAAGAGTCCTCTTAACAGTATTTATTAAATTATTAATTTATTATAACTATAATAAGGAACACATTAAAAGTAAAAATAGTTTATGGTTAACAGATAATTTATTTAAGTCCTAATTAGCAATGTAAATAAAATTATTTAAGTTTAAAATATTCAGTTACAATGGATATAAAAGGWATGGCCCCCTCAATTTCTTCAATAGGAATTTCCWAGAGCAATCTAATCTTATTGTCTAAAATAAATTCCTATACCCAAATAAATAAAATAKCTATTATGATGATAATTACTGATCATTAGAGTACTAACATAACTGTAAATTTAGAGAATCTTCAAAAAGAACTATATAAAATTATAAATTAATTWATTAAAACTTGCCTCCTATATCAATCTCCGAGCTAAAATTATTTGAATTTCTCTTCAGGTCATCAATAACGACTGAAAAAATTAAGAGATTAAGAGATGATTTAAAATTCATTGTAAGTCCACAAAAACAGGATACACTGTAATAATAAGCCAGATACTTAAATTACTTAGTACCCTATACATATTTTTGAATTCTGTTTGAGGGACATGAGGACTGAACTATTGAATCCTAAATTCCTAGAWTAAATTAAAAACTAAAAATGGTAAAATTGTTATAATACATACCTTGATTGTCAGTTGACTTTAAAGAAGTTGAACTATCAGTAGAAAATGATGGTTTTTCTATTTGAACTGCAACAATTTAAATTTTACTTAATTTTTTTGGTTTTATACTTATGATCCYAATTATTTAGGATTGGCAATTTTTGACTTACATCAACTAAATGCTTGACTACCAACCTCCTATCATCTCGCTATTTGCAATTATCTTGTCACTATTCCATCTTTCTTTTCATCAGTTTCCTTTTTACATTTATTTCTATGACATCTCACACACCACTTTCCCCTCACAAATATGTCCAAACCAACTCTAACTCTCATTTATTCCACAATTAACATATAACTATTTAACGCAAAATTTGCAACAGTTGTAAGTATATAGTATAAGCATTGAATTTCAATGATTGAAACATTTCTAACACACTGATAACATTTTATTTTTGTAATCACCACCACAAACTGAGTTAAAATTTGATTTTTTCATCTACTTTTTACCCAAACAATGGAAAGCATTCTTTCTTTTATTTGTGAGTCATTAACATTATGATACATAAATTGTGTGCAATGTCAACACCATATGGTTCCAACATTAACTTTTTTTGCTAAGAGGACATCAGACCTACATGTGTTGTCTCTATCTTATTAACATACGACATAATAGTACACGGCACTATATACCTGTTTTGTATGGGTGTAAGAAGAAGACAACATATGCAAATACACCGTACTTTTAACCAATGTATCATAATAAGATACATTAGTATTCTGTCATTGTATTTTATGAAATTAACATTAATTTGTCATATCAAAAATCTTGTTAGCCATTAGGTACACCACTGTCCTAAAATTATTATAAGAACAAATACAAATATATATATAAATTGTTCACTTGAACAATTAGTTTACTGTCTATTTATATCACCCAGTCTATAACTGGATACATTGTTCAGTTACTACACTCCAGCTAGGATCAAACTCCAATTCATAMTATCATATCAAGTCGCTTCACATATAGTAATCTCATAGAAATCTATCTATTAATATCTAACCATACTGGCGTTATCTTGTCACATCAAATACTCACCAGACTTCTGCTTCACTTCATTTTATTCAGATAAATTATTTATGTTAAATTTATGTTTTCGTTAAAACCACTATTATTTTGTATTACATATTCTTTAAACAATAAAAAACTTACCTTGACTTTCAGATGATTTTAAGGTGGTTGAAGAATTGTCAATTTTAAATGAAGGCTTTTCAATTTTAACTGTCAACATAAATTAAGTTGAAAATAAATATTTTGTATTTTTTTAAGATTTGATTGTTTTCTTTATTAAACTTACCGTTTGAAATGAATTGTTTTTTTTCAACTTCTAACACGGAATTATGTTTATCATTTTCATCACTCTCATTGTCAGTTTCATCAGTTTCTTCATTACTTTCTTCAGCACTCTTATCAGAATCATATTTTTCTAATCCAGCACTTTCTTCTCTCCATGTTAACGGTTTGTTTTGATGGACAGCAGTCTTAATTGGGATACCAAATGTGTTTGTGTGGTCGCTTGTGCTCAATGAACTAAAAGATACTGCTGATGGTGTTCCAAATGTTGGCATAACAAATGGAATACCTGGCTGAGAATTACTCAAAGCATCTCCAAATTTTAATGAAGAGGAAAAAGATGTTTGTCCAAATGTGAAACCAGTAGTTGACTGACTTTTATTAGTATCATCAAYAATTGCTCCTGGTTTTACAGTAAAGCATGCAACACACTTAACAGTATTTACATCATTTGACAGATAACATGCATCACAAGTCCAAGAACCAGGTTTGGGTTTAAATTGAGCTAGATCACTTAATTTTGGTAATGGTTTACTAACATCTAGTTTAATATTAGATTGTTTTTCTACTTTAGCTTCTGTGCTGCTGGAAACTTCCTTCAATTCTTGAAGTTTATTTTTAACTTCATTAAATTTATCTCTAAATGCATGAAGCTGTCCAACAGTTTTGAATCTAATAGCAAACAATTCTTTTTTACTTTCACCTTCAGAATAATCTTGGCCAATCCACGACATAGCTTTTTCTGATGAAGACACAGGTTTCAATTCTAAATCAGCAGTCAATCTTTGGTTACAGCAAACTTTTAATACTATTTCTCTTCTCATTAACAACTGATAATAATCATCTTTAGGGTTGTGTAAAATTTTCATTTGGCCGATTCCCTTCTCTTTCCATTCTTTAGTATTTGAATCATACCTGAGAAGTTTTGCACGATCGTCAAATATAATGTTGAGTCCTTCTTCACCAGTAACCACATCTACCTTTTCAGGTAAAGGTATAACTGGAGAAAATTCAGCAGTTGGAACAAATTCTTCAGATTCTTCATTTTGTGGACTTGAAGAATCATTGTTGGCATCTTCTGATTTAATAATGGCGTGCGGGGAAGGATTAGTTTTAACACTAAAAATAGTGCTACCAGCACCTGGGAAACCTTTAAAATCGGGAGAGTTGGTAAAACCTAAGTTGGGTGAGTTTTTTGCTAGCGTACTAAAGTATGATGTTGCAGATGTCCCAGATGTAAAATCTAATTTAGGAGTAAACATTGCAGATTTTTCTTCAGCATTATTAAATGAAAATAGTGATTTATCTGTAGACTTGGGAGTAGTCTCAGTGGAAAATATTCCAGATTTTCCTTCAACATTATTGAAAGAAAATAATGACTTTTCTGTAGATTTGGGAGTAGTGTCGGTAGAAAATATTCCAGATTTCGATGTATTGAATGAAAAAGATTGTTTATCATTAGTACCAGTTATWGTTTCAGAATTCGTAGATTTTAGTATTGATTTTAGACTTGGTGTTGCTGTATCTCCAATAGGTGTTGAAAAGCTCAAATTAGAGAATAAACCTTTTGGTTTTTCTGGTGTTTTATTTTGTTGCTTAGATGTAGAAATATCATTTATAATAGGCGGGGAACTAAATGTGAAACCACCTAATTCATGTTTAAGTGATTTTTCATTTTCTAAAGATAATTTTAAACTTGAATCTTTATTTACTTCAAGAACTGATTCACTATAATTTTCAGTAACACTATCAACTATTGAAGTATTTTGAGAGCAGGGTTGTTTGTTTTCATTAAAGACTCTTATAAATTCATTGCAGTCTTCTACTGTTTTAAATCTTGCACATAAATTTTCAATTTGTACTTTGACAGCATCAGAGAAATCATTTGCTGACCAAACAACTGCTTTATCAGATTTAGATTTCAATTCCATATTGTCATATAAGAAATGATTAGCACAAACCTTATGAACTTGTTCTCGCCTCATTACCAATCTAACTTTGTTTGTATCACTGTTTTTTAATATTTTCAAAATGCCAATACCTTTTTCTTTCCATTCCTTTTCAACATACTTATATAACTTAGCACGTCTTTCAAACAAAATTATGTCATTTTCTTCACCAGTAACTTCTTCAATTTTATCAGGCAATGGTATGATTGGTTGAAATTCAGGTATTGGATCATGTTCTTCATTATAACTATCATCAGTTGCAGAGTTTCTAGACTTATTTAATGAAGTGTCAAAACTTTCTTTAAAAGTTGATAAAGGAGATTGAAATGWAAATTTATCAGTACTTTGTACATCAACAGAAGATGATGTTGGCTGAATATTAGGTATCCCATGAGATATGACTGACTGAGATTGACTATTAACCAGTTGGCTATTAAATTTGAAAGGATAAGACGGAGCTTCAGATGTAGTCAAACTACTACCAAGAATATGGTGTGTTGGTATAATTACACTAAGAGGAGGCTGAGACACTGGAGGTCCAGTTGGTAATGTGTCAGACGAWGTTATATTTACATTTGGGTTAGGAGCCATTGAATACGATGAAAATTGGTTTGATTGACTAGTTGGATTAAATAATCCAAATTGCTGGAACGGTAAAGAAGACGAAAATGGCAATTGAGTAGTAGGAAAACTTATTGTAGCCAATTGAGTTTGATCATCAAATGCATTTTGGATACATGATGATTGATCATAATTAATTTTATCAAATTCCTCTCCATTCTCTGCGTATACAGCATACAAATCATCGTGTCTGGTTTTTATTTCATTTATAGCATTAAGTTTTTCAATCATAACTCCTTCTAATTTGTCAATACGTTCAATTAGTTTACYGTCTATATCAGGCTTATCACTAGTAGTAGCTGTAGAAATTTTTGTGGAAACAATATGAGATAATTCATTTATCTTATCAAAAATTGAATCTTTTGTATTGTTAAAATGATCAAATAACTTATCAACTTTTTCAGACATTGACTTTAAWGTTTCTATCATATTATAATACTGCAATCCTAAAGTTTGACACTGTACATTCTGTGATTGTACGGCTACTTTTAATTCACTCAATAATTTGACATCAATTTCTTCATCTAAAGTTCTTCGCATCTAAAATTTTAAATTGAATAATTTTTATTTCAATGCACATATATTTTTAAAATAATTTGTTTTGGCTACTTACTGGAGTGAGGGGCGATTTAACAGGAGTACTAGTTACATTAAGAAAGGACCGTTCTCCAAATTTATTATACTGTTTTCTTGATACATTTGTGGTATCAGTATAATCCTCTCCAGATAAGTTCAAATTAGATTCTTCAAAAATAATAAAAATAAGAATTAATTGGGTTAATTTCATTAATACTATAAATAAAAATACTTYTGATAAAAAGTTAGAAAACAAGTATAAATAAGTATGTAATAAACATGTAAAATTTATTT